AGTTCGTGTCTCGTTTGTAGGACAGATCGTAAGTAGTATTTAAATCAATTCAATTTAATTCAATTCAATCCATTCCTATTCAATCCAATCCAATTTAATTTAATTCAATCCAATTCAACTCAATTCAATCCATTTCAATCCAATTCAATTCAATAATTAGCTTATTCAGCAAAAAAAGCTAGGAGACCCGAAGATATAACTTGTTGGGCCGCCATAAAATTTGCACCAAAAATTATAGATAGAAAAAATAGTTCTATAAACATGAAAAAAAAACATAAGAACAATTGAACAATCAAATATAACCATATTAAAATTGAATAAATATGAAGTATATAACTTGGAACAATCGAATCAGCAGGGGACATGGTTGAAATAATTAAACTGAATGAGAAAGTAAATAGAATTTCTGGAAAGTGCAAGAGAAGAAGAATTTTCAGTAGTCATCGGTGATGAATTCCAAAGACGCATAGAGATATATAAATTGTAGTAGTAGCAGTAGCAGCAGCAGTAGTAGTAGTAGTAGTAGTAGTAGTAGTAGTAGTAATGGTAGTATTAGTATTATTATTAGTAGTAGTAGTGGTAGTAGTAGTAGTGGTAGTAGTAGCTGCAGTAGTAGTAGTAGTAGTAGTGGTAGTGGTAGTAGTTGTAGTATCAGCTGAAGTCATAGTAGTAATAATTGAAATAAAGTAATAGAATTATAGTACTAGTTTTCTCATTTGAACGTAGACACAAACATACATACACACACACATACACACATACATACAAACAAACCCACACACGCACACATACATACATACATACATACAAACAAACCCACACACACACTTACAAACACATACACACACATACACACACATACACAAACATACAAAGGGAAAGACATCAGTCATAAAAAGTTACTACCCTGAATGGAATGAGTCACTCAAGTTCATGGACATGTTTCCACCCTTGTGTAACAGGTTTCCATCATCATCATCGTCACCATCATCACCCTTCACCATCATCATCATCATCATATTTATTTTAAGCATCATCATCAGCACCTTCTTCATTGTCATCATTATCAGGATTAAGGTGCAGCTATGCGATCAGGACGTGATATCAGCCGACGCTGTGGCCACTCACTTCATCGAATTATCACAAATTATGGATCCTGGCGGCAACGCTGATGGTCAGTTCCTCCATTCATTCATTCATTCGTTCATTCATTCATTCATTTACTCATTCATTCATTCATTTACTCATTCATTCATTCACTCATTCATTCACTCATTCATTCATTCCTTCAACTCACTCCTCCATTTTTTTACGCTGACTCAAACAGGCATCCTTCCGACGTTCGGGCCGAGCTGGGTGAACATGTACGGCACGAGTAGGGCCTTCAAGATGATGAAAGACGGTACAGAGGACCTGAACGAGGGCATGGGAGAAGGCTCGGCCTTTAGGGGGCGTCTTCTCATGTCCCTCAGGACCTCCGTTGACCCCACCGAAATGGCCTCTGAAGGACAGTCAAAAGTTGTTCTCGAAAAGTTGAGAACTGGCTTGGTAAGTGAATTTGTGAATGAAAGATTGAATGAATTAGTGAGTGATTGAGTGAATAAATAAATGAATGAATGAATGAATGTATTAATCAATCAATCATTCAGTCTATCAATCACTAATAATAGTAATAAAAGTTGTAGTAGCAGTAGAAGCAGTTGTTGTGGTACGGCGAATGATTTTTAAACAAACGTAACAACAATGACTCCAAATCTTCAATTTCTTCCAGTCTGACCATGGAGTCAAAAAACAGTTCCTGCTATTCGCGACATTTTTTGAGGCGAGTATGATCGACGCGAAACTCACAAACAAGTCCATCCATTTCGAATTGAGTATTGGTCAGTCGGCTGATTGGTTGGTCAGTTGCTTGTTTGGTTGGTCGGTTGGCTGATTGGTTGGTCAGTTGCTTGTTTGGTTGGTCGGTTGGCTTATTGGTTGGTCATTTGGTTGATTGGTTGGTCGGTTGGCTGATTGGTTGGTCGGTTGGCTGATTGGTTGGTCGGTTGCTTGTTTGGTTGGTCGGTTGGCTGATTGGTTGGTCGGTTGCTTGTTTGATTAGTCAGTTGGCTGATTGGTTGGTCATTTGGTTGATTGGTTGGTCGGTTGGCTGATTGGTTGGTCAGTTGCTTGTTTGGTTGGTCGGTTGGCTTATTGGTTGGTCATTTGGTTGATTGGTTGGTCGGTTGGCTGATTGGTTGGTCAGTTGCTTGTTTGGTTGGTCGGTTGGCTGATTGGTTGGTCATTTGGTTGATTGGTTGGTCGGTTGGCTGGTTGGTTGATCAGTTGCTTGTTTGGTTGGTCGGTTGGCTGATTGGTTGGGCGGTTGCATGTTTGGTTGGTCAGTTGGCTGATTGGTTGGTCATTTGGTTAATTGGTTAGTAAGTTAGTCGTTTGTCATTTGGTTGATTGGTTTGTCAGTTGGCTGATTGGTTGGTCATTTGGTTGATTGGTTGGTCAGCTGGCTGAATGGTTGATTAATTAGTCAGTTTATTACAATGACTTTCACATCCATCCATCCACCAAACCATCTCAGGCCAGTTTGGAAACACATTAGACGCCAGAGCGACAGCCATTCCCCCGCTGGGGATCCGGCGGTGAGACGGACGAGACGATGGGGGGAATTGCTGGGGTACCGGCCCTGAAGCAGCACTTCTTGAGGAAACAGCGGGACGAAGATGCAAGCATGCCCTGCCTAAGTACAACTCCCAGAAAGGTTATCAAACTGACAAATAAGAATTACGGCTATCTGCCATTGGACGAGGAAAAGCCCTGTTTGTTTATTGCTGGCCTCTTCGAGGATGTGAGGAAGAGACACTTTCATAGCAATGCCCTTGCCATGATGGCTGACAATTTGGTTAGCTGGCTTGTTGTCATAATCATAGTTATGTCTATAATTATAATTATATAATTATAATTATGTCTATAATTAGTATTATAATTATGGGGATTATGATTTTTTGACGAAGAGGTTAGTAGATATTTATTACAATGATGATGATGATAACGATTATGATGATGATGGTGATGATGGTGATGATGATGGTGATGATGGTGACGATGATGATGATGATGATTGCGATGGCTGTCATAAAAATAGATTGAAAAAGAGGACAAAGAGAAAACAATTAACGTTTTATTCATATAAACACGTGTTCCTCTATCGATCTGTCAATCATTGATTTATTCGTTCATTTGTTCATTAATTCATTCAATCATTCATTTATCTATATATTTGTTCATTTGTTCATTTATTTATTCATTCGATTATTAATTCATTCATTTATTCATGATTATCTTTTTTCTGCTTAAAATATTTTCTTGTACTGAATTTTACTCAAATTTGTGCGTTCATCTGCTTAAATGTTCATATATTTTAAATATTATTTATTTATTCGTTCCATTATTCATCCATCCATCCATCCATTCATCCATCCATCCATCCATCCATCCATCCAACCAATCTTCCATCCATCAATCCATCACAGGAAGATGGACTGAACGACGTAAAAGAGAGACTGTCTAGACAGGACCCAGACACCGCCAAACGTCTGCGTGGAGTCATGGAAAGGTTGAAGTTGGACTGTGATGCCTACTTGAAGACGGCCTTCGGTGTTGGGGCGGGCTCCGGAAAAACGAAACTTGACCATCATAGGTTGAAGTCCTGTAAAAAATATGTGGTGAGTTGTGTCGTGTGTGAGTGTGTTGTTGTGTGTGTCGTGTGTGAGTGTGTTGTTGTTGTTGGGTTTGTGTGTGTTGTGTGTGTGTTGTTGTTGTGTTTGTGTGTGTGTTGTTGTTGGTGTGTGTGCGTGTGCTGTTGTGTCGTGTGTGTGGGACTGACTAAAATACATGGATCAAAATAACTTGGCTGGTTTTTTTAATTTGGTTAATGTTTTACTTTAATGAATGAACGAAAGAAAGAAAGAACGAACAAATGAATGAGTGAGCGAATGAGTGTGTGATATAATGAATGAATGAATGAATGAATGAATTAATTAATCATCCAATTAAATTTAATAGGAGAAGCTACGCGACACTTCAAATCGCTTGAAGAAGCTAACCACTAAGAAGAACGTTAAAACATCGTTACAAGATGTCCGCGATGTCCCTTATAAACTCAAGTGCCTCTCAAAAGATGTCTGTTGTTGCGGCTGTTGTCTTTCATTCATTCATTCGTTCATTCGTTCGTTCGTTCGTTCGTTCATTCATTCATTCATTCATTCATTCATCAATTAATTAATTCATTCATCAATTAATTTGCCCGTTCATCCAACCATTCATCATTGATTCATTCATCAATTAATTCGCCCACTCATCCAACCATTTATCATTCATTCACTCATCCATCCACCAATCCATTCATTCGTTCCGTCAATCATTCACTCATTCATTCATTCATTCCTCCAGCCACAACACTCCCTACCTGATGTGATAGTATGGATGATTTGCGACAACGAGCGTGTGGCCTACCACAGGCTGCCCGCCAGGGAGATCCTCTTTGCCACAGACGACCACATCATTGGGAAAAATTGCGGCAAAAGACAGACAATATTCTTGAAGGTTAGTGGTGTGGTGGCTAAGCTGCTTGGCTCTGCTTATGCTGCTGCAACTACCGATTCGAATAACTGTCTCGCCATTTTAAAATATATTAATTTAGAAACCAGGTAGGAAAAGTTTGGGCCAGCAAGGATGGAAAATCCAAGCCAAACTGAACCTCTTCATGTGGCTAGGTGACTTTGACCCGAACAATAAACAATACATGGAAGGCCTTCCGGGTGGCTATGAACCCGTGTACCTCAGCGAAACTTCTACTTTGCCTCCTGTGGTTCTTAATTACTCAGGTCTTATTTGATTTGATTTGATTGGTCGAGTGATTTATGGGCCAGTTGCTTGATTGTTCAGACAATTTGTTAATTGTTTGATTGATTGGCTGATCGATTGATTGGTTAATTCATTTACTGACTGATTTGTCACTCTCACTTAGTTGAGCCTCAGATTGAAAAATAAAATTAATAAAAACAAAAAACAACAACTGCAATAATAATAATAATAATTATACAAAATAATAATAATTATTATGATTATTAATAATAATATTATAATATACTTTCCACAACTTTCCAGAATATCACAGGTTCCAGGTGCGGTGCTATTTATACCAGGCCAGATCGCTCATCCCATCAGATGACACAGGATTGTCCGATCCGTTTGCACGGATTTTCGTCTGCAACCAGTGTGCCACTACTCAAGTGAACGATTGAATGAATGAAGGAGTGAATGCAGGAGTGAATAACCGATTGAATAGAGGAGTGAATGAAAGAGTGAATGAAGGAATGAATGAAGGAATGAATAAATGGATGAGAAGTGAATGAGTGGATTGATAGATGGACGGACGAATGGCAAAATAAAAAGAAAACTCGTAAACTGTATCAACTACAATCAACCACCAATTAATCAGCCAATCAATCAGCCAATCAACCAACCGACCAACCAATCAACCAACCGATCAACCAACCAACAAACCGACTAACCAATCAACCAACCGACCAACCAATTAACCAACCGACCAACCAACCAACAAACCGACCGACCAATCAATCGGCCAATCAACCAACCGACCAACCAATCAACCAACCAATCAGGTGATAGAAGAGACATTAAGTCCTACTTGGGATGAAACGATTGTCCTGGAAAACATCATTTTGTACGGAGATGGCGAGCACATCAAAAGATCACCTCCGTTCGTCATCATCGAGATATATGATTATGATACTCTGGTGAGTGAGTAAATGAGTGAATGAATGAATTAATGGATGAATTAGTGAGTGAATTGAAAAAAATGAATGAATTAGCGAATGAATGAATGAATGAATGATCAAACAATTCACTCCGCTTGAAATTATTGCGATCTACGACAGCAATAAGAATGTGACGAATGAGTGAATAAATGAATGAGTGACTGAAAAAATGAGTGATTGAATGAACGAGTAAATGAATGAACAATTTAAAATCATCCCCTTTAAACTATGAACCCCAAAAGGGCCAACCAGAATTCTTAGGTAGGGCGACCACGATTCCGAAATGTAGACTCGCAAACGATGTATACGTTCCCGCCAAATTGGAATGGTGGGATGTACATAGGGGGCCTAATAGGGCCGGCCAGTTACTGGCCTCTTTTGAATTTATTGAGGTTTTTCGGTGACGGAGTGGGAGTTGTTTGTTTTACAGTTAACGGTGTCTGTTTATGATTATCTGTTGTAGTTGTAATCATCATCATCATCATCATGGTCGTCGTCATCTTCATCATCGTCGTCATCATCGTCATCGTCATCATCATCTTCTTCATCATCAGAGTTACGATGATGATGTCATAGCACTTCCGCCGTACAAAGAACAAAATGGAAAGGTTCTTCTTAGTAAAGAGAAGGTACCTTTGTACTCCATTCCACCCGACATCAAGCCTGCCATGTCTAAATACCGTCTCGAAGTATGTGTTTGTTTGTGTGTGTGACTGTGTATGTCTGTGTGTGTGTATGTATGTTTGTATGTGTGTATGTATGTTTGTGTGTCTGTGTTTGTGTGTCTGTGTGTGTGTGTTTTTTTGTGTGTGTAATGTCTAAATGTTTGTATTGTATTTTTTTGAATTTTTTTTCAAGATTATTTGTATTTGCGATCATAAATTTAAATAAATAACTACCATTAATTATCATAAAAAACCATGAACCAATCAACCACCATTCAACAGCTGACCCTATAACCAATCACAACCAACTAATCAACCAATCACAACCAACCAATCACGACCAATCAACCAATCACAACCAACAATCACAACCAATCAGCCAATCAGCCAACCAACCAATCACAACCAACCAATCACAACCAACCAATCACAACCAACCAATCACAATCCAGATACTATTTCGTGGGGTAAGGGATTTGAAACGCATCCAACTGATGACAGTTGACCATCCACACATCGCAATCGACTGCTCCGGTCAAATCAAACACTCGGACAGAATTATGAATATGGATAAGAACTGCAACTTCGAATCCTTCATCACATACATGGATATTGTTAGTATTGATGGAATTGGGATAGTTTGGGATGTGTAGGAATGTGTGTGTGTGTGTGTATGTGTGTGTTTGTGTGTGTGTGAGTGTGTGTGTGTGTGTAATTTTAAGATGAAATCTGTACTTTAGAATCACATATCACAACACACGGATATTGTAATTAATGAAATGTTTTGAGGTAGTTTTACTTACCACATCATCGTCATCATCATCATTACCACCACCATCATCATCGTCATCGCCATCATCATCATCATCACCACTATTGGCATCATTATCAGGACTTACCAGATGACCGGATATTCTGGCCACCAATGACAATCAGGTGTCTGGAGACGAGGAGTTTTGGTAGAACGATCCTGGTTGGTGTTCATACTGTGGAAAATATTGAGAAGTTCATACATAGAGAGAAAAAAGCTATCGAGTTTGTTGGTATGTATGTGTGTCTGTATGTGTGTGTGTGTTTGTTTGTATGTATGCGTAAGTTGTATGTGTGTGTTTGCGTTGGTATGTATATGTGTTTATCAGTGTGTGTTTCTATGTGTGAACGCGTTTTCTAGTCTCATTTTCAAACTCGACTTAAAAATTAAATACGTCAATTTTTCATGAAAGATGAAGAGGAAGAAGAGAGCCAATCAGGAGCCGGTGACGATCCGAGTCTAGCCAATGGTAAGCCGGGTTCCGTCGAAGACGACCAATCACAGCACACCGTTAAAACGACAAAGACAACAGCCTCGGTTAAAACAACACCGTCAGGCAAAACTGCAGCTACCTCTAAATCAAAACTCGACCAACAACAACAGGATGCAAAATCGAAAGTTTTATCCGTCACTTCTGGTGGAACTAAAGTCTCAGAAACTTCTGGAATTATTAAGTTACCCCACGATCCGGGTCTCACTGAAGATGGGATTAGTGTAATTGTTGGTGAAGATGGCGACGATGGAACGAGTGGCCAAAAAAAATTCAAGAGATTCCGTAAGAAGAAGAAAGTTAGGAGGAAATTTTTTTTTAATTTTCAATTTTCTCAACTCTTCGTCATCGTCACCATCAACAACATAATCAGTGTCATCATCAGCAACGTCATGGTCATCAGCATCATCGTCATCATCATCATCCTTCAAGGTCAAAGTAACAGAAGAGCTGAGCCCTGCTGAAGAGACTGCCAAAAGGGCGAAACAAAGAGAACTGATCGCCGAACTTGATTGGTGGAGCAAGTATCACGTGTCTAAGAAAATCTCTGCCGTTGTTAGTTGACTTGCTCTGATTGGCTGATTTGTTTTGTAAGACTTGCTGTGATTGGTGGGTGATTTGTTTTGTGGACTTGCTGTGATTGGTCAATTGGGTTACATGAGAATTCTGTAATAGGTTAACCGAATTGTTTAAATTATTGTAATTGGCCGTTTTGACTGCTGATAATGTTATGATTAGTCGGTTAAATTACTTGGATTGTTTTAATTGGTTGGATTAATTGATTTATTTATAGCATAAATTTATATTTTAAATTTAAGGAGCTGCATGATAACCTATTGAAGAAAAAAGGTAAAAATTATTCCCCAATTTTTTATAAAAATAAATTATATTATAATGATAAATAATAATTAATAATACATAATAATAATAATATATAAATATTTTTGAAAAGTTTTATAATAATTTTTTTCTCCGAATGAATAGCTCGACTCAGTTACGATGCCAATGAGGAATGTACGTTGTTGAGAATTTATTTACGTTTTCGATTGAAAAATTTTCGAAAATTTTGTTTAGTTTCACTTTCACTCGTAATTTTACTTTCACTTTCATTGCAATTCGCTGTTATTTTTATTATTATCTTAGTTATTATTTGTTACAATGATTATTTATCATAAATTGAATTAAATTTGTATCGTTATTTCGATTTCAACCAACCAACCAGCCAACCATCCAACAAACCAACCAATCAACAAATCAACCAACCAGCCAACCAACGAAAAGTTTAATTAAAATTTAATTAATTATTGATTAGCCAATAATTAATAGCTAATAATAACCAACCAGCCAACCAACAAAAATTAAAATTTAATTAATTATTTCTCATCAAACTATTTCACTCCTACCACTACTACAAAAGCTTGCATCACTAAGGAAATGTTAGGTGTGAGAATTGAACTATAGCCAATATAATTATATTACATTATTATCATAATCGTAATATTAACCATAATTATGATTATTATTATTATTGCTCATTATTATTATTAATTTTATTATTGCTTATTATTATTATTTTTAAATATTTATTGGGTGGTGGGTTGATTCGTTCATTTTTGCGTTCTGCTTATCATGTTAGAAGTTTTTCATCATCATCATCGCCATCTTCAACGTCATCATCACCATCATCCATCATCATCATCATCATCATCACAATCATCTTCATCACCATCATCATCCTCATCATCATCATCATCACCATCATCATCATCACAATCATCTTCATCACCATCATCATCATCACAATCATCTTCATCCCCATCATCATCTTCGTCACCATCACCGTCATCACCATCATCATTATCATCACCATCATCACCATCATGAAGATTACGGATTGGGGGTGATAGATTACACGGTGCTGGATATAGAGGCCCTGGATAAGCAGGTGGCCGAAGCCAAAAAGAGAGCACTGGAAATCGAAAAATTAGAGCAGGTTATGATAATGATAGCAATGGTGGTGATGACGAAGAAGACGATGACGATGATGATGTCACTGATGACGATGGTTATGATGATGATGGTGATGACGACGACGATTATGATGGTGAAGATTTTAACTGAAGGGCAAGAAGAAGAAGAAGAGGAAAAAATTAACGAAAAAAAGGTTGAAGAAAAAAATGGCAAAGCTAAAAGTGAGTCTGCTGCAGCTGTTGTTGCTGATAATGATGAACATTGTTGATGATGATGATGATGACAATGACGACACATTATATTATTATTATTATTATTGTTGCTGAATAAGTAAATTTGAAGATCAGTTTGTTTATCCTTCTTTTAATTTTTATTTCAGTATTATATTATTTTAACTATACAGATAGAATATACAGATACAATTATTTAATTAATTTGTCACTCTCAAAATCATCACCATCATCTTCTTCCTCCTCCTCTTCTTCAAAGGGGAAAATGAACGAAGCATTCAAACCGGAAGAAGGCGATGACGACGACGACGATGACAATGACGATGACGTCATGAGCGGAGAAGAGAATCTCAGTTACATTCAACCATTCAAGGTGTTTATTTCAATACTTGTTAATTATAGTTAACTATGATCATAATTATATTTAATTATGATCATAATTATATTTAATTATGATCATAATTATATTTAATTATGATCATAAATATATTTAATTATGATCACAATTATTGTTAATTTATTTAGTTAACTATGATCATAATTATATTTAATTAATTTAGTTAATTGTGATCATAATTATATTTAATTATAACAATAATAAAGGTGTATCCGTGCGGCTTGGAGGATGTCGCAGATTTCCACAAATTCGGCAAGTTTTTCCGGACGTTCCAACTGTACCGCGGGAAAAAGGCTGACGACGATGCCGATGACTTTGATCGGTTTTCCGGATTGTTTAAGGTTAGTTGAGTGATTGATTGATTGATTGATTGGTGGGTTGATTGATTGGTTGGTTGGTTGTTTGGTTGATTGATTGGTTGGTTGGTTGATTGGTTGGTTGATTGGTTGATTGATTGGTTGGTTGATTGGTTGGCTGGTTGATTGATTAATTGATTGGTTAATTGGTTAGTTGTTTGGTTGGTTGATTGATTAGTTAGCCGACTAATTATTTGATTAATCAATTGTTTTATTTACCACAACATCTATTATAACCAGGGCCAGTTCAGCATATACAAACTAGATGAAACACTTTCCATTCCCACCCCCGCAATACCTGCACCGACGTCATCTACGACACCCACTGCGGACGCCGCGGGGCAAAAATCGACACCCCCTAGCCCTGATGAATCTGCATTCAAGTTGACCAAATATCTACCGACACATAAACCCACAGAAGTTAAAGTCCTCGTCTATATCATTAAAGTTCGTTTCTTGTTTACTGGTTTTTTTGAATTAAATTTTATAATGCTTCAAGTTTTATATCATAATTTTAAATTACTGTAATTAAAGTAAATAATTATATGAGAATTTATAATATTTCAAATTATTATAATGTAATTAATATAAATAATTAATAATTATATGAGAATTTATAATATTTCAAGTTTTATATCGTAATTTCAAATTATTATAATGTAATTAATATAAATTACTATTAATTATATGAAAATTTATAATATTTCAAGTTTCATAACGTAATTTCAAATTATTATAATGTAATTAATATAAATAATTAATAATTATATGAGAATTTAAAATATTTCAAGTTTTATATCGTAATTTCAAATTATTATAATGTAATTAATATAAATTACTATTAATTATATGAAAATTTATAATATTTCAAGTTTCATATCGTAATTTCAAATTATTATAATGTAATTAATATAAATAATTTATAATTATATGAAAGACATTGTATCTTTAAACCCAATCGTCGTATTAAAACTTCCGCGATTTTGTATAATCTGCCATTTTTGCATCTGGAAAATTTTGCCATCTTGGATGGAATTAGGCTATCGATCTACATCCGGTCGATTTTGACGGCCGCTCTGACCCCTACTTGATACTGAAGTGTGGCAAGGACAAGACGATCGACAAGGAGAACAAGATAGAGAACCAACTTAATCCCATTTTCGGGAGGTTGGAAGGTTTTTTCATCATCGTCGCCATCATCGTCATCATCATCAACTTCATCATCGTCTTCTTCTTCTTCATCATGACCGTAATTTATTGGCGCCGTTTCATATCCACAATCACAACAACAACAACCACAACAACAACCACAACCACAACAACCACAAACCACATTCTAGAATGTTTGAATTCGACGCCATCTTTCCGGTAGACTCGATGCTAAAAATAGAAGTCTGGGATTATGACTCAATTGGGTCAGACGACCTCATCGGCGAGACGACGATTGACCTCGAGGATCGCTACTTCAGCCACCACATGAGTCGTTGTGCCATACAGCAGACATACGAAGTGTAAGTTGGCGATGTTTACTTGACCCACTTACATATTTCTGGTGACGTAATTTCAATTTGGTAACCTATATTTATTTATTGTTTGTTTCTACTACTTTATAAATCCATGGACACGTGTGAAGCAATTTTTTTTTGGTTTGCGTTCGAACCCAGTAACTGCGTCACACGAAGAAAAATACCAAACGATTTTAGCCATCTTATTTGCAAATATTTGTGTCTGTACTATACTGCTGAATGTTTCATTTCTTAACATTCATCATATTGTTTGACCATTTCACTTTACATAACTTTTTTGATTTTGAATTTTTTAACTTTGCGTCTAGTTTTGGCTACAATGTCTGGAGGAACCCTTTGAAACCCTCGCAACTCCTGGAGAACCTTTGTAGCACCTATGGATTTGAGCAGCCTGTATACATGCCTGAGTCTGTTATCATTGGCGATTTCATTAAGTTCACGGCCGATGGTAACGCTGAGAAGTTTGAAGTTAATGAAAATGGTTGGCTGTGTTTGATCTGTTTGCGCGCGCGCGCGTGTGTGTGTGTGTGTGTGTGCATGTATGTGACATGTATCTGTAAATATATATATCTGTGTGTGTGTGTGCGTGCGTGCGTGTTTGGATACGTGTGAGTCAAAATTGTATCAGGTATCACTGCATGCACATACTCCAGTTATTCCTTAAATAAGGTACCTTCTTTTGTTTCCCAAACGTCTAAAATTGAACTTTCGAAGGTGACTTGAGGCCGACTATAGAACATTTGGCGTTGAAGGCCCTCAAAAATTGGCACACAGTACCTGGCGGCTGGCCCTTGGTACCTGAACATGTTGAAACGAGACCACTCTATTGCGAAACTAGACCCGGTATCGAACAGGTGTCAAGTTGTTGTTGCTGTTGCTGTTGTGGTTGCTGGCTGACTTACTGCTTGATTAGTTGTTTGCTTGAGGTTGATTGGTTGGTTGATTGATTGACTGGTTAATTTGATAGTTGAATTATTGATTGATTGGTTGGTTGGTTGACTGATTGGTTAACTGACTGACTGGCGGACTGACTGACTGATTGGCTGGATAGGGCCGTCTGGAATTATGGATCGACATGTTTCCGAGAGACAGTCCCAAGCTTCCTGCATGCATCGACATCTCTCCCAGACAGCCAAAAACGTACGAATAATAATAATAATAATTATTATTATTAATATTATTAATAATTAATAATAATAATAATTATTAATATTATTATTATTATAGTAACAATAATAATAATAATTATGACGTTAATATAAACAATATTGAAAATAATAATGACGACGACGTTGATGATGATGAATAATTTAAACAACAGCAAGAAGAGTAATTACAATTATCAATTATAATTAATCATATTTATTAATTTATGATTAATTACATTTATTAATTATAGTTAATTGAAACTGTTAATTATAGTTAACACGATAAAAATTTCGCAGTTACGAATTACGTTGCATAGTATGGAACACCGATGAGGTCACACTGGATGACGTCAACGCTCTGACGGGTGAAGCTTCTAGTGACATCTTTGTTAAGGGTAATTATTATTATTATTATTTATTTATTATTATTATTATTATTGTTGTTGTTGTTGTTATTGTTGTTGTTGTTGTCGTCATCATCATCTTCTTCTTCATAGGATTTTTGAAAGCTGTTGGCGTTGATGATCTAAAGACAGACATTCATTATAGGTAATCATCATCATCGTCATCATCATCATCACCATCATCATCATCCTCATCATCATCGTCGTCATCATTATCAGTTTTTATCACCATCGTCATCGTCATCATCGTTATTACTTTCAACATCAAAAACAATCGCATCATCAAGAACATCAACACCACAACAATAACAACAAATCCAAAGATCCTTAACAGGCGAAGGTAACTTCAACTGGCGCTTCATCTTCCGGTTTGATTACTTGAAAGCCGAAAACAAAGTCGTTTACATGAAGAAAGATCACGTGCTCTCTACAGACATGGTCGAACACAAAACTCCGCCGAATCTGAGTATTCAAGTCTGGGATGCCGATCTTGTTACTGCAGACGATTTCTTAGGTCTGTCTGTCCGTCTATCTGTCTGTCTGTCTGGATGTATAGATGGTTATACGGATTGATGGATACTTGTCTTGGTCTGAATGTTTTTTCTGTGTGTGTTTGCGTGTTTGTGTTTGTTGTTTGTTGACGTTACATCTGAAAAATATCGAATTGAAAATTGTAAAGAAGAGAGAATTTTTGAAAAAAAAGGCAAGACCAACATTTCAAACCAACGCAGGCTCCATAGTTTTGAATCTTTTGAAGATCCCAAGGCCCGCCAAAAAGGTTGAAAAGTGCAGCTTGAAAATGGTCGAAGCGGGCACGAAACACCCGACCTTGAACTTGTTCAAGAGCAAACGTTGCAAGGGGTGGTGGCCCGTGACCGCTGTAGAGAAACCGGAAAAGGATGAAGATGATTCTGATGACGACGACGACGACGATGAGTATCAATTGATGTTGAAGGTTCGCTGCAATTGTTGATGTCGACTATGGTGGAAAATAAGTTATAACTATCATCATCACCATCTTCGTCGTCACCATCATCATCGTTATCATCATCACCATCATCATCGTTATCATCATCACCGCCATCATCACCATCATCATCCACATCATCACCATCATCATCCACATCATCACCATCATCATCCACATCATCACCATCACCACCAGGGCAAAGTGGAAATGGAGTTGGAGTTGCTGACGGAAGAAGAGGCCGACAAAAATCCAGCCGGGATCGCCCATGAAGAACCGCAATCATTACCGAAACCCAAGTTATTATTATTATTCATTATTATTATTATTATTATTATTATTATTATTATTATTCCTCCTCTTCCTTACTTTCTCTTATTTATTATTATTTTTATTGTTGTAATAATATTAACAATGATAACAATAACAAGTAATATAATAATAATAACACAAACGACGACAACAACAACCACAACAACAACAACAACAACAATAGCAACCACAACAACAATAATAATAAAAACAACAATAATAATAATAACAATAATAATAATAATAATAACAAACTCGACAGCCGACCGGACACTTCCTTCCTCTGGTTCATGAACCCGCTGAAGACCCTGAAGTACATCATCTGGAAGAACTACAAGTGGCTCATCATCAAGCTGATCATCCTACTCATCTTCGTCATCTTCTTGGTCCTATTCTTCTACAACTTCCCAGGGGCGGTTGTTGATAGGATCGTTAATAAGGTCTAATGATGATGACGACGACGACGATGACGATGGTGGTGGTAGCGATTATGATTGTGATAATTGTGATGATGATGACGATGATGATGACGATGATGATGATGATGGTGGTGGTGGTGATTATGATTGTGATAATGGTGATGATGACGACGACGATGATGATGACTATATTGATGATGATGGTGGTGGTGTGAATGAAAATGATGACGATTTTTACGATGACAATGACAAAAATAATGACCATAATATTAAAAAATAATAATAATTATTATTATTATAATAATTATTATTATTATTATTATTATTATAATTATTATTATTATATGTATATTTTTATTTTGCATTTTTCAAAAATTATGTGAAGGCGTATTCTGTTTTTAAAGCAGTAATGAACATATATGCAATATAATTATTATATGTATGTATGTATATATGTGTGTGTGTGTGTGTGTGCATGTGTGTGTGTGCATGTGTGTGTGTGAGTGTGTGTGGGCTTCTGTTCTTCTGTTTGAATAATTATAATTTGTAAAAAAAAGGTTTAAAAACCTCACTGCAAACATTTATATCGTTAAAATCAAATAGTAGCAATGTGTTTTTTTTTATAATTATTTAATTATTATTATTATTATTTAATTATTATTATTATTTTATTATTATTATCTTGTTATTATGGTTGTTAATTTAATTATTTATTATGTGACGTCATTATTGGAGACGTTTTTTGTTTGTTTATTCATCATTCAGTTTGCTTTCTCAATCAATCGATCGATCAATCAATCATTCATTCGTTCGTTCATTCATTCAATCATTCATTCATTCATTCAATCAATCATTCATTCATCCATTCGTTGATTCGTTCGTTCATTCGTGTCTTAAGTTTTAAACGTTCAAAACATTCCTTATACAAAATGTGATTTTACAGTTACTGCTATTGCATGAATTTTTAATAAATATTTTTTTCTCTTTTCACTCCCTCCATCTTTCTCTCTCTCTCTCTCTCTCTCTCTCTCTCTCTCTCTCTCTCTCTCTCTCTCTCTCTCTCTCTCTCTATCAGTTTCTATAATAAATGAATAATTATGGATATAATAATTAAAAATGAATGTTACCTATTTTATGTTGTATTCCATTCTTTTAATATTACCACTTAAGCAGCAGTTCACACTTGAAAAGTACCATATTCATCATCATATAGAAACATACAAACCTACACACACACACACACACACACGCACGCACGCACACATCAGCATCATTTTAACCAAACATCTTTATTGTTATACGAATATAAAAACAATAAATTAGCTATCAATATCCCCACTTGAAAAGTATCATAACACACTCACAAACATACACACACCCACACACATCAACACACACACACACACTCACATCAACACACACACACAACATTTTAATCAAATATCTTTTATTGCAAGTAAAAAAATCTGCACTCAATGAACTTTATTTATTTCAATTTTCATCTATAACAACATAGTAACGTATAATTTATAACCTATATCTCAACTATAATATAACTTTTATCATTTAATTGTCTTACTGCAAGAAAGATACAACGGTGTCATGTTGTTTGTATGTATGTATACTTCGTATAAAATGTCATCCACGAATCTGTGTGTGTCTCTGTGTGTGTGTATTTGTGTGTGTGTGTGTGTG